GAATGCACACCTTGCCCTAACCAACCATCTGGCACAAGCCAGTCTCGCTTCCTGGGGAAACTTGGCAGAGTTTTCAGGATAGAAAGGCAACCAATTACCTCTACCAGGAAAAAAAAAAAAAAAAAAAAAAAAAAAAAAAAAAAAAAAAAAAAAAAACCTTCCAAGCCCTTGACTTGCTAAAGTCAGCGTTACCTCCACATACCAGGAACAAATTATTATAGGAGCAGAGACCTACAACACCCAGCTGGACGTTCATAAATCAAGGAAGAAGACTACTGACACTGCCTGCGCATTCCTCCGAGGCAGGGGCCGTGTCTGCGCACCTCTGGGTGGGAAAGGAGGGGCCCTGCTCACAGCGGATCTGCAGCTGATAAGGCTGTCTGGTCAGGTGGGGACGCAACTCGCTAAGGAAGCCCTGGCCTCTTCCAGGGTGCGGGTGAAGCGGAAGAAGCCAGGAGATCAGCGGAAGCAGCAGGCTGCATAGACACCAAAATGCATGTGCAATTCCCTTTAAAGCGCTGTGCAGACACGGAAACCACGAGGCGATTGTGTGTATTTAAGGGGACCTGGGTTAGGAGCTGAGCTCTCTGCCTCACCCTCAGATCCACCTCATGACCACCAGGGATCTCAAACAACAGGCAATAAAAGAAAGGAGCTTACATCTCACCAGGGACCACAGATGCGGGGAGGGACCTACGAAACAGTGCGGTCGGTTTCTGCGCAGGGGAAGCGGACCGGGAACAGTGCATTTCCTGCTTCGCCGGTGTGAACGCCGGGCTCTTGGAGAGGGAACCTGGCGGTGGCTGAGCAGCCCAGCAGTCGCCCTCCGCCAGGGTGGTACCGTAGCGGGTTGCTGGCGAAGGGGCTGGGAGAGGGCGTGAGGCAGACAGAGCTCGCACCTCTTCTTTGGGGTGCACGCTCGCCCTCGCCCGCTTTTGGTCTCGTGGGAGGCGCGGGACCGCCGAGTCTGGCGCAGACTTCGGACCCCGCGAGCGCAGCGCCGGCTAAGGCGCAGGTGACCGCTATCTTCCGGGCGGGCCACTCCTTTCCACCTCTCCCCTCCCGCCCACAACCTTCGACCTCTATTCCGGACCCTAGGGGGATTGGCCGGGGACAGGGAGGAGACGCAAAAGGTGCAGATGGCGCCCAGGCGGCGCCGGGGCGCGGGGTGCCAGCGCGGGCGGTGGGCTGTGGGTCCTACCTGAGGGACGCCGCGCGCCGCCTTCCTCTGGGTCCCTGAGCTGCCGCCCCGCTGCACGACTTACAAAGGCCCAGGCCATACTGCTGTCCTTTACCCTAGGGATACCATTGTCTGCCACCCCAGAGTGCCCCTGACTTTCCCCTGTGCTTGTGGCACAGACCCCTGTCCCCGCCCAAAGAACTCGCTCTCCAGAGCCCACCGTATCCGCCTGGGAGCACCCGGAGCCTTCTTGATAACGGAGAGTCTCGTCCACTGCCTCTTTTAAAGCATCGAAAAAACTAAAACCGGCCAGAAATCACCCGGCCCGGTCAGAGGCCCACAGAAAAGCGTGGCTCTGACTCGAGATCTGAGCCACCACCGTTTGACACCTACCAGGGTCATTTCTGCACCCGCTGGCCAGAGGACCCCAAGTGGCAACGGGGTAAGAGCTTCTTGCTACGTTAGTCGCTTCTTCACTCAGTCTTTGGAGTCTTGGGGCACCCTGAAATGTGGGCGCAAACAGTAAAGCAGGAGCCTAGAACTCTGGCACTGTGCACCGCGATGCGCACCGCAGGCTACAAAAGTACTTGTACTAGGCTCCGACTACCGCTCCCCCCCCCCCCACCGCGTAAATCTCTCGTGTTGAGAAAAGCAAGGCTTGCAGGAAGCCACTCCGGATGTTTGCTTCTTTACATGTGGCATTTGTGGCTGGCTCTGATAACGTCAGGAGCTCCAGCACCGCGTTTGGTAGGAAGACTGAAACACGAGTGCCCGCATCCTCAGGTCTTGGCACTACCTGCAGCCCCCCTCCCCACCTCCATGTCAAGAGAGTGCCCAGAAGAAATGAGACCTGTCCAGGAAAGACACCACTGTTCCTGTGTGGTTAATTTGCGAGGTGAACTCAGGCAGTGCGACTCCAACGGAGGCTGTGTTAAGACATCTGGAGCTCCAACTCCATCCTAGGAATGTGTGCTTTCACCCGATTTTTTCGGTACCCTTATATCTGACCAAGATCAGTAGCTGGACGCCAGGAACCAGTGCAGCAACAAGTAAATAAAAATAAATAAAAATTTAAAAATAAGTTGAGGAACCTCCAGGTTTTCTTCTCCATCAGTTGCTCGGCCTTGTTGACTCCAGGACGCACTTTGCCCAGACTGGACTGAGCCCGGAAGCACGGAAGGAAGAAAGAGGGTAAAACTGTGCACATCGTTTTCTGGATCCACACCTGGATTGTATTTCCTGCACTTCATCTTATCTGTGAAGAAATTAGTCAGATGGATAACTTTACATACAGAAAATGGATTCTTGAAGAGGCATTGTTTTTGTTTGGTTTTCAATTTTCATTCTAAATAACCCTGTTAGTTCATAAAAGATTTTATACTAAGAGAAATTTCTGCTTTGAGATCTTTTTAAATATATTTATTATTATCTAGAAAAGTTAGAAAGTTTTGAGAGGCTGAGGTTGGAGGGTCAAAAGTTTGAGCTGAGTGAGACCCAGTCTCAAAATAAGAAAACTTTAAAATGATTGGTGAAAAAAATCTCGAAAAATAAACAAAATACAGCAAGGTAGAATGTGCTGGATTAATTTGTAATTATGTTATCTCTATTATAACTTCTTTACTTATATAACCATTTTCAGTGTACTTTGCTTTGTTTTCAAGTCAGAAGGGTTTTTTTTTCAGGAAAAAATAAAGCTTGAAAACACATCACTAGTTAAAATAAGTTCAATTACTTTAAAACCATCCATTAAAAAGCACATTCCTCTACTGTACTTTAAGCAGATTTAATATTTTCTTGCCTGAGCCTAATAGATCCAGCGACTAGAACCACTGCCTTAAGGTGACCCTGGAGAAGACTGCCAGCTGAAGAGGAGACCCACAGCCTGCTCTGTGCAGATCCTTGAAGAGGACTTCAAGGCAGATTGACTTCAAAGAGTTCCACCGAGAAAAAGCAATGCCACCAAAACCAAAGGCCAGGTGTTAGCAAAAAGCTTCATGTTTTAATTAATAAAAAGCTGTTGTGATGAGTGACTTTGCACATACAAACCCGTGGCATTTAGCCCTCAGACCCCAGCAGTACTGCTTTTTCATTACCTCTGGGTAATAAGCAACCAAGATCTGTTCAGATCTGTTCTGGAGACAGATTATTATGTATTGATTATTCTCTACTGTAGGGATGGTTGTGATAGCTTTGAAAATGATGCAAATACACAAATATAATAACCCAGCTAGGTGATTAAGAGCTCCTGGTCTGAAGGCAGACTGCTGGGTATAAATTGTACCCTCCCAATGCTTTGATCCCTGGCAAATTGGTTAGCCTGTGCCTGTGTCCTCATCTGTAAGCTAGAATATTGTCCAACTTCTAGGGTTGGAGGATAAACTGATTCTTTAAGGGTTGGCAGTGCTAGGAAATTGGAATGGCATACTGTGTCTCATATAAATCCCACCGAAAAGCTTTTTTATGTCTTAACACAAGTTTAAAAGACTTATTTTCTTTTCCATCTAAAGAAATGAAATGTCCTAATTATCTACCCGGGTAATCATCTCTACTGATTCTATGAGATACAGTTACTTTGCTTGTCAGATGGGTGCTCTTTCTGCTAATAAACTTGAGTGTGCAGACAAACTACTGATTTCCTTTCTCTTCCCTCGACTGAACCCTGGGCCTTTGCACTCACTACATTCCCATTCCTTTTGCAAACTGAAGCCAGGGGCTTCTTAAATCACTAAATTGCCCACACTGGGTTCAAATTTTCAATCCTATCTCAGTATTCCAAAGTGCTGAAAACTATGGGCATGTGCCATGGCACTCAGCTTACATTTTGTTTTTATTGTTTTGTGCCGCTAGGAATTAAACCCTGGTTCTCATTGGTCATTTTCGAAATCAGCACTAAAGCTTGCCCTTTTTACCAAACACACATGTGAAATTGTTTTGTTGTTTTTATTCTACATATTTTGTGTAAAGGTTTTTTCAGGGTTTTTTTCTTTCTTTCTTTCTTTCTTTTTTTTTCCCCCTTTTTCCTTTTTATAGGTACCAGGGATCGAACTCACGACTGCCTGCTTGCAAGGCAGGCGCTTATGCCGCTGAGCTAAATCCCCAGCCCCTGTGTGTAAAGGTTTTTAATTAGTGCATATTTATAACACAGAATCTCCTTACCTGCTCTTTTCCTCCCTTTCTTTTTTCCATTCCCCTATCTCCAAATACCTTCGGGTTTCCTATCATTTCTCCTTTTTTATGTGCATACATATCATAAGAAAGTTTAAAATTCTGCATTTTGGAATATTAAGAGACAGAACGCCCTTCCATCATCTTATTTTTTAAAGTAAGAATTTAAATTGGGAACATACATTTTTAACACAAGCAAGATGAGCCCTTGGGGGAGAGAATCTATTCAGTATCTACTTTCAGAAAATACATCTGAAGGCGACACCCATGCAGTGGTAGATCATCTATCCCTGAAGTGCTATTGGCTCCTACAATAAAGATGTTATTTCAAAAGAGAACAGCGTGATGCCTGGTATGTTAACGCTTAATACCTTGGGCAAACCCCTCTCTGGTGGGTGCAGTCTGCACCCGCTCAAAGTTGTGTCGCGCTCTTCTCCCGGGTAGGAGGACGTGGCGCCAGCGCCCGGCTCCAGCCAGTTTTTCCGGGGGCCGGTGCAGGTCAGAGCGCAGGCCAAGGGAGGGGAGAGGGGCGGGTGGGGTCGAGCTGGGACTTGGGACTCCGCGCGAGGGCGGGGCGTGGTCCCGACCCCTGGTTCCCGGCCCGCCCCCTCCGCTCCATTGGCCACCTTTGTGCAGAAAAGGCCCCGCGGTGCCGGACGCCCGCACTGTCACTGGGCAGGCGGGGCTTTGGCAGTGGCCGGGAACTCTGCGGCCAGGCTCGGGTCAGCAGGACCAGTTTAGCGCAGCCCTCGGTGCATCTCCACCCTCGCTCGTCCCTCCCGCGTCGGGAGAGGCGGCGTGTCCGGCGGAGGGTAGCGGGGCGCGGGGCAGGGCTGGAGCGCCATGAGCAGCCCGGATGCGGGGTACGCCAGTGACGACCAGAGCCAGCCCCGGAGCGCGCTGCCCACGGTGATGGCAGGGCTGGGCCCGTGCCCCTGGGCAGAGTCGCTGAGCCCCCTCGGGGACATGAAGGTGAAGGGCGAGGTGGCAGCGAGCAGCGGAGTGCCGGGGGGCACCGCGGGCCGGGCCAAGGGCGAGTCTCGCATCCGGCGGCCGATGAACGCTTTCATGGTGTGGGCTAAGGACGAGCGCAAGCGACTGGCGCAGCAGAACCCGGATCTGCACAACGCGGAGTTGAGCAAGATGCTCGGTGAGTGTGGCCGCGTACCTAGGGCTCCAGGCGCGCGGGTGCGGGTCTCCGAGCCACTACCTCAGCCAAAAAGGGTGGGGCTTTTTTTTCTTTGGAGCCAAGCCTGGGCCCTGGGTTTAGTGGTACCTCTTCCCTTGGGCGCCCCTCCTTTCCTTCCTTTCCCGCTTGTCAGTCTCGGGAGTCTCTAAACAGGCTTTCGCCCTTGATGGTCCGAGCGCGCGGATAATCCGGGAGCTTGGGCGCAAACCCAAAGGTTTCGGGGAGGCGGGTTCCTGGCGGGTCTCAGAGGTGTGGAGAGCAGTCCCAGGCCAGAAAACGGACTGCGCCTGTCCCGATCCTTTTCCAGCCTACTGTGCATTATCCGTTTTTCCAACAACTGGGTGACTGGGGTGGGGGGAGCTGTTTCCAGGAGAACCTGGCATCTTTGGAGGCGTCTTTCAAAGAGCTGGATTTGAAGGAGTCCTAGACCTGCAGGCTAACTTGACCGGGGTAGCCCTTGGGTTGTGCACTTTCTAGACGGGGTTGGAAGGTGAAGCCAGGTGATGCCCGGTCCCCCAGCAGCGCAGCCGGTAAGCCGTGCACTCCTCTGCCCTCCCCACCCCCTTGCAGGCAAGTCGTGGAAGGCGCTGACGCTGGCGGAGAAGCGGCCCTTCGTGGAGGAGGCCGAGCGGCTGCGCGTGCAGCACATGCAGGATCACCCCAACTACAAGTACCGGCCGCGGCGGCGCAAGCAGGTGAAACGGCTGAAGCGGGTGGAGGGAGGCTTCCTGCACGGCCTCGCCGAGCCGCAGGCCGCCGCGCTGGGCCCCGAGGGCGGCCACGTGGCCATGGACGGCCTGGGCCTGGCCTTCCCGGAGCAGGGCTTCCCCGCGGGGCCGCCGCTGCTGCCCCCGCACATGGGCGGCCACTACCGGGACTGCCAGGGCCTGGGCGCGCCCCCGCTGGACGGCTACCCGCTGCCCACGCCCGACACGTCCCCGCTGGACAGCGTGGAGCCGGACCCGGCCTTCTTCGCCGCGCCGCTGCCCGGGGACTGCCCGGCGCCCAGCGGCTACAGCTACGCGCAAGTCTCGGACTACGCGGTGGCCCCGGAACCGCCCGCCGGGCCCTTGCACCCGCGCCTGGGGCCCGAGGCGGCGGGCCCCGCCGTGCCGGGGCTCCTGGCGCCCCCCAGCGCCCTGCACATGTACTACGGCGCCATGGGCTCCCCGGCGGCGGGCGGCGCGCGCGGCTTCCACCTGCAGCAGCAGCAGCCGCCGCCGCCGCCGCACGCGCCCCCGGGCCCCGGCCAGCCTTCGCCCCCTCCCGAGGCGCTGCCCTGCCGGGACGGCACGGACCCCGGACAGCCTGCTGCCGAGCTCCTCGGGGAGGTGGACCGCACGGAATTCGAACAGTACCTGCATTTCGTGTGCAAACCCGAGATGGGCCTCCCCTACCAGGGACACGACTCCGGCGTGAATCTCGCGGACAGCCACGGGGCCATCTCCTCCGTGGTGTCCGATGCCAGCTCCGCGGTATATTACTGCAACTACCCTGACGTCTGACGGCTCCCAATCCGCCCCAGCCCGCAGGCCGGCAGCACAGTGTTAGCACACTTCCTGGAAAAGCTAAGGAAATCCTTATCCTCCTGTTTGGTTTTGTTTTTAAGTCGCCTTAGCACATAATTTATGGTAATTTATTTTGTCTACCACTTGAACAGTTGGGGTGTGTGTGAACCTTGTTTAAAATATGCAGGGACTTATTCCCCATAACATTGTCAAAACCCTGTTTTCAAATTCAATCCAGCCAGTTTTCATGTGTTCATTTCTTTAAATTTCTTGCTCCATTTCTTGAAATTTTACTGATCAAAGAAATTGTTTCCTGGGTGTGTTTTTTTAAAAGTATTTTTAGAAATAAATCTGGAAGTCTGTTTTTCACTCCAGCCTTGCCTGTGTCTCACTAGTTTTATCAGACACCGATTTTAAGGTCAGCATTACAATTAGAAGCATGTAAAACTAAGCTTTGCATTTTCTTACAATAAAACTTAGTACTTTTAAGAAATCCTAAAGAGAAACACCAGAGAGTGCAAGTTTGATGTAATTGTTTTTCTACAAAAAAAGTTCCTGGGACGATCCTAACCTAACTCATCTTGGTCTTCAAAAGCATATAGTTAATACTGTTTCTAATTCTAGTTTATCATCTTAACAAAGATGTTCTGAGTAGTTTGGTTTTCCAGACATTAATTCTAGTTGTTAAATCAACCTCAGTATACTTGGAGTCTTTATTTCATGTTTTTTTGTTTTGTTTCAATTTCATCAGTCTTCAAACTCATTCAGTACAGCTTGCCTGTAAGTCTCACATCTTTATACCCTCATGAAAATTTGTGCTGTAACTTGTTAGTGAACTTCAGCCTCAATATGCAATTTCAATTGTATATTTTGCTGTATGTAGTAAAGATGGCATTTCCTGGCACCTGGGAATCTTACGTGATTTAAGAATAGTGTGCTGTGCAAATGTTACTGAAACTACAACCCTGCCACTCCACCATCACGCCCTTACAGGGAAGGCACTAAGTTACAGGGGTTGTAAGTAGATTATTCACACACTTTACAGAGCGGATGACTTGTATTGAGCATTTCCTGTGCCAGGTGTTTCCTCACTGCCATTCTGCAGAGGTTCTGCCCCAACAAGACTACAGACTCCTGCGCTGTTTGTCCCGTGTTACAAGTGATAGGAGACATCAGACCCTTCCAGTCCTGGCACACAGAAATGGGGAGCAGTACAAATTCTTTCCTCCAGGTTGTGGCACCTGCGATTGAAACTAGGGCCCGAGGAAGCTGCTATATCTCTGAAACCCACCTCTAACCTCCACACAAGTTCTTCCGCAAAGTATTTGTTCACTGTTTACTTTGTGCCAGCTTACATCTGTGAGTGTGAGAGAATTGGTCACTTTGGATGGTGAGAAATTTCTTTTTTTTTTTTTTTTTTTTTTGTCTTTTTTTCATTTTTATCGGTACCGGGGATCGAACTCACGACCGCCTACCGCTGAGCTAAACCCCCAGCCCCGAGAAATTTCTTAATTCTCCAATCTGGCTGTGGAAAAACAGGACTGAAGGAGCAGCCCTTCAGTACGTACCTGTGGGAGAATTCAGAGCCGAAAGGTTCCTCAGGATTGTTTTGAGAAATGGGAGGCAACTTTTCTGGAACAGATTCCTGGACCCTAGGAATGTGATTTTTCAGTGACAGTCAAAAATGTTTTAAGAGACACAGTAGAGGCTAACTTTAGTTTTAAAATACGAAGGTCACCCAAGGATTATCACCTAATCCAGGATTATTGCTGTGCATTTTGTTTTTTCTTCTATTCCCAGAGAGATCCTGGATAGTTCTTTCACCCAGATGTGCTGCCAGTGGGTTAACTGAGTGAGAAGCATTACCTTACCCTGCTCAAGGCCGCATGTACAGCTCACATGCTTTTGTAGGCATTTTAGTGCATGTGTTCAGGGAAACCCAAGTTGTACCTTGGGTTATCTCTTAACACTTAAGAAAAGAAATAGGGAAAGGAGGAGAGGAATAAGTAAGACTGGAAGGAAGAATGCAAAGTCCTGTCTAGTTAATTTTTTAAAAATTTTTTGTGCTGGGATCAAGTCTTTTGGTTTTTTTGAGACTGTCCACTATGTAGTTCAGGGTATCCTCGAGCTCACTAGCTAACCCATGCTGACCTCGAATTCACAGTGATCTTCCTGCTTCAGCCTTTTAGGTGCTGGGATGACAGGCCTGTGCCACTGCATTTGGTTTGGTATCAAACCCCCGCATGCTAAGGCAGTATCCCCAGCTGAAGTTACATTTGGGGTGCAGGGATTTGAGAGGCCACACAGTGCCGGCTGGCTTTGAGCTCACTGTGTAGCCTAGGATGGTCTGAAAAATCAGTGAACCTCCTTCCTTAGTCTCCTGAGTGCTGGGATTACATGTGTGCACTGCTACGCAGGACCTTGAAGTTATTTAACTATGCATCAAGTACAAGTGGCATAATAATAGAAGCTAAGCAGTCAAGGTAACCTCAATGCATGTATCTGGTTAGTGGGTCTAAGCTCAGGGATAGTTCTTGGGGATGGGGCCAGAGTAGGGGAATCAGGTCAATTCCTTCTGTTTCCTCCTGTGCTTTGAAAGTGACAAGTACTAGCTAGTCATTGTAAGTTTCAAAAAATATCTCCATTTTTTACTTTGGAACCAAGTATATAAAGGATAAATTGCTTTTTCCTAACCCTAACTTCTGAGTTAGTATGTTTTAGAGGTAGTAATCTAGGACATTTAAATACTCAAGGCTGAACCCAGGGGCACTCCCCATTGAGCTATAGCCCCAACCTTTCTTAATTTTCATTTCCAAAGTCTTGCTACATTGTCAGGCTGGCCTTGAACTTGTGAGCCTCCACCCTTGACCTCCCAAGTACCTGGAATTCTAGATTCCTGCTTATTTTGATGAATTCTAAGCATTATGAGATGTCTTGCATATTTAAACTCACCTTAAACCAACAGTCTGAATAAAAGGAGTCCTCAAAAACATGTGCACATGCACATCACTTAATATTTTTATATGATCCCTTATGTCTATACTAGAACTCTTCATTTGTGACCATTTATCACCATTTAAGGAATATATTTATTCCATTTAAGAGAATCCAAAGCCCTGACAAAGGCAGTTTGTTGGAATGGATGACATCTAAGATCAAAGCAAAAAGGTAGTTTTCTACGTTTGAAAATAAAAAAATGGCACAAGCAATTTGTTTATATTGAATTCTTGTGGCATATAATTTAAAAGACATGGAGAATAGGATGTTCTTTCAATTGTAAAATAAATCATACTGTGCTTCCAGGATGAAAATTGATTTTTCCCTTGTGTATGGAGCAGGGCCAGCTAGTCTCCAAGATTGACCCCAGTGAACCCTACTTAAGAATATGTATCCTTGTATAATCCCTTCCCACATTTAATCTGCCAATAGAAGAGAACAGAAATGAGGCTCTGCCAGTTCCTGGACCAACTTGTAGGAAGGCTTGGTGGACTTTGTGTCTTGTATTTTTTTGTTTTGTTTTGTTTGGGCACTGGAGATCTAATTCAGGACCACCTCACACTTGCCAGGCAGGCGCTGTGCCACTGAGCTACATCCCTGACCCTGTGTCTCACACAGCAATATCCAGTTATCCGTTACTAAAGGGCTGAGGCTGCGTAAAGATGAAGAGGACAGCCCAGCGGAGTCCCTGCCTCCCCTCTGGCTCACAGGCTCACACCTGTCTGTTACTACCTGTTTGGAACACAAGAAATGCACCCAGAAAGGGGCTAAGGATGTACCTCAGGGCAAAGTGCTGGCCTAGGAAGCTCAAAGCCCGAGGTTCAATCCCTAGCAGCACCAAAATAAAAATCCCCAGAATGCCTAGGCAATCCACGGGTGGGAAAGCTTTTCTTTAAAAAAAATGGGGTGAGGGTGGTGAGAAAGTTGTGGTATTTGGTGGTATTTTATTATGTGACAATGGCTTACTGCAACAGTTGTTATCCTTAAAACCTTTCTCATTTTTAGTATAGAAATGGGGGAGGGTGGGGGAGGATAAAACCAGGGAAAAAGCTTTAGGGCCATCACAAATATCACTGTTAAGAAGGACAGAGTGTAAAACTTGGACCTAGGTTGGAAGACTCAATGATTATCTCAAAATAGATGAGATCACTTTTGTTTTTTGCAAGTGGACTCAGAAATGTCCCAGTACCTACTAGCTAGTGAGGATCTAACCTAGGACATATTCATGCTATGTGTGTGTACTGTACCCCTTAACAACACCCCCACCCCCTAGCTAGTGATTTAAAAAAGTATTGTTTGTTTCAAATTCTCATTGTTTTATTTCAGAAACAAATACTTAAAGAATACATTGTTCTTCCTCCACCACTACTTTGGAACTACTTTAGAAGTGTGTCAGGAAGTAAGAATTCAGCTCTTTCCTGGGCTGAGGGACCCAGGCAGGCCCATAAGGAATCTACACACTTGTGATAGCAGTAAGGAAAAGGGTTGTCTTCCCCAAGAGACACTGACAAATGTCTGCTAAAGCTGCTGCGTGGGTCTGATACACTAGAGATAACTCTGTAAATTTCACAAGTGGCTAAGGGATGATATCACCAGGAACATTTTACTTATTATCCTTATCTCAGACGATTATTATGTCTTAGGTCAGAGATGAGCAACCATCACATCTTTGAGACTCACCACCACGAGATCAGAATATTCTTCTGGTTTGACTCGCTGCACAGGACATCTGCACATTCTGAGAGAGGGCACAGCCTCACGTTTTTCTAGGGCTTGTTTCATTTTGTCTTTAATATGCAGAACTGTGCCTGCCACATCATGGATATTCACCATTCCATTCCTACCCCGTTCTTCTTTGATTTGTTCTGACAGCGGTGGATCGGGAGAGGTATTCTACACGAGTATTTCAGCACAGATTTATTCTTCCTGCTTGACAAGGTGTTTCCTTCTTGCTCCACAATATTCATCAGAAGAAAAGCAGTATTTATGTCCTTGCCAGTCCCCATCTGGAGCAGGCTGAAGACTGCTCCTTGGGTTCAAATTCCTTCCCAAAGGATGAGCTGTGGACCATTGAATGCTGTATTTCAGTGTTGGGTCTTCTGGCTTGGGATCCGGCTGTATTTCCTCTTTATTTTTTCACTATAAAACTAACTAAATTTCTTTCTGCCTTCCTTCCTCCTTTCTTCCTGTGGTACTGGGGACAGAATTTGGGGCCTTAGCACTGAAGTATATCCCAGCCCTTTTAAAATTTTTTGAGATAGGATTTCCCTCCCTCCTTTCTTCCTTCCTTCCTTCCTTCCTTCCTTCCGTCCTTCCTTCCTTTTCACTGTGGTACTGAGAACTGAACTTAAGGCCTTAGCCTTAAACTATATCCCAG